TGGCTGCGAAAAGGTGAGTGTTGGGTAATATTGTGATATTTCGTCCGATCTTAGATTAATCGCAGTAACAAAGATTTTCTCATGAAGATTTACTATACTCTGTATTAAGGACAAATGTTGGCGAACGTAAAGTTCGGTGTACACAGCGAGTCTAGCAGCGCACACAGCCAGTCCATCAGCGTAAACAGCCAGTCCATCAGCGTACACAGCCAGTCCATCAGCGTACACAGGGAGTACAGCAGCGCACACAGCGAGTCCATCAGCGTACACAGACAGTCCATCAGCGTACACAGCCAGTCCATCAGCGTACACAGGGAGTACATCAGCGCACACAGCGAGTCCATCAGCGCACACAGACAGTCCATCAGCGTACACAGCCACTCCATCAGCGTACACAACCAGTCCATCAACGTACACAGCGAGTCCAGCAGCGCACACAGCCAGTTCATCAGTGTACACAGCCAGTCCATCAGCGTACACGGCCAGTCCATCAGCGTACACAGGGTCCATCAGCGTACACAGCCAGTCCATCAGCGTACACAGGGAGTCCAGCAGCGCACACAGCCAGTCCATCAACGCACACAGCCAGTCCATCAGCGTACACAGGGAGTCCATCAGCGTACACAGGGAGTCCATCAGCGCACACAGCCAGTCCATCAAGCGCACATAGCCAGTCTATCAGCGTACACAGCCAGTCCATCAGCGTACACAGCGAGTCCATCAGCGCACACAGCGAGTCCATCAGCGCACACAGCGAGTCCATCAGCGCACACAGCGAGTCCATCAGCGTACACAGAGCCACAGGTCACCCAGTATCAGCGTACACAGCGAGTCCATCAGCGACACAGCGAGTCCATCAGCGCACACAGCGAGTCCTCAGCAAGGCATACACCAGGGAGTCCATCAGCGTACACAGCGAGTCCATCAGCGTACACAGCGAGTCCATCAGCGCACACAGCGAGTCCATCAGCGTACACAGCGAGTCCATCAGCGCACACAGCGAGTCCATCAGCGTACACAGCGAGTCCATCAGCGCACACAGCGAGTCCATCAGCGTACACAGCGAGTCCATCAGCGCACACAGTGAGTCCATCAGCGTACACAGCGAGTCCATCAGCGCACACAGCTAGTCCATCAGCGTACACAGGGAGTCCATCAGCGTACACAGCGAGTCCATCAGCGTACACAGCGAGTCCATCAGCGCACACAGCGAGTCCATCAGCGTACACAGCGAGTCCATCAGCGCACACAGCGAGTCCATCAGCGTACACAGCGTCCATCAGCGTACACAGCGAGTCCATCAGCGTACACAGCAGTCCATCAGCGTACACAGCGAGTCCATCAGCGTACACAGGAGTCCATCAGCGTACACAGCGAGTCCACAGCGTACACAGCGGTCCATCAGCGTACACAGCGAGTCCATCAGCGCACACAGCGAGTCCATCAGCGTACACAGCGAGTCCATCAGCGCACACAGCGAGTCCATCAGCGCACACAGCTAGTCCATCAGCGCACACAGCGAGTCCATCAGCGTACACAGGGAGTCCATCAGCGTACACAGCGAGTCCATCAGCGTACACAGCGAGTCCATCAGCGTACACAGCGAGTCCATCAGCGCACACAGCGAGTCCATCAGCGTACACAGCGAGTCCATCAGCGCACACAGCGAGTCCATCAGCGCACACAGCTAGTCCATCAGCGTACACAGGGAGTCCATCAGCGCACACAGCTAGTCCATCAGCGTACACAGGGAGTCCATCAGCGTACACAGGGAGTCCATCAGCGCACACAGCGAGTCCATCAGCGTACACAGGGAGACCAGCAGCGCACACAGCCAGTCCATCAGCGTACACAGGGAGTCCATCAGCGTACACAGCGAGTCCATCAGCGCACACAGCCAGTCCATCAGCGTACACAGGGAGTCCATCAGCGTACACAGGGAGTCCATCAGCGCACACAGCGAGTCCATCAGCGTACACAGGGAGACCAGCAGCGCACACAGCCAGTCCATCAGCGTACACAGGGAGTACATCAGCGTACACAGGGAGACCAGCAGCGCACACAGCCAGTCCATCAGCGTACACAGGGAGTCCATCAGCGTACACAGGGAGACCAGCAGCGTACACAGGGAGACCATCAGCGCACACAGCCAGTCCATCAGCGTACACAGGGAGTCCATCAGCGTACACAGGGAGACCATCAGCGTACACAGGGAGACCAGCAGCGCACACAGCCAGTCCATCAGCGTACACAGGGAGACCATCAGCGTACACAGGGAGACCATCAGCGTACACAGGGAGACCAGCAGCGCACTCAGCCAGTCTACGACACTAGGAAAACCACCACGGCGATGGGGACACACAAAAGCACATTCTTTCCAATTACGAAGAAACAAATATATAGAAAATTTATGAAAATATCAGTAACCTCTTCCAAGGAAGTGACACTACGAATGCTTCTTGGGAAGTGACACTACGAATATTCCAGGAAAGTAACATTATGAATGTTACAGGGAAGTGACACTACGAATGCTCTTGGGAAATGACAGTATGAATGATCCAGGAAAGTAACATTATGAATGTTACAGAGAAGTGACACTACGAATGCTCTTGGGAAATGACAGTATGAATGATCCAGGGAAGTGACGCTATGAATGCTCTTGGGAAGTGACACTACGAATATTCCAGGGATGGAAGATAATGTATGTTCCAGGGAAGCAAACACCACTGTCCTGGGAAGCAAACCATACAAACTTCTCAAGAAACACTCTGCTGGAAAGCAGACAAATACACTATCCTGGAAGACAAACAAACACTTTTCAGGAAAATAAACAAATGCAGTTTCCTGGAAGACAAACAAATCCATTTTACGGAAAACAAATTCACGTTTCTGGAAGTCAAACAAATACGTTTTTCTGGAAATCGAAATAATACTTAATCCTGGAAAAGAAGTTCATGTTCTTGCGAGACAAGACAGTCAAGTACACTTGTCCATGGAGCAAACAAATTCTCTAGTCTGAGAAACAAAGTACTCTTATCAGTGAAACAAACACATGTACTCCTGTCTGTGGAACAAACAAGTACAGGCTTCAGTAAGGTAGACAGGTACACGTTCCTATGAAACAAACAAGTACACGTTCCTCTGACACATACAAGAAAACGTTCCTATAAAAAAACGACATGCCCAACCCATCTGTTTGCAGGGTGAAAACCCCAGTTACTTTAAATCTTACAGATACCTTGGTATAGACATATCTTTCAATAAAACCACTATACCACAACTAAATTAGGAATGCGAAGATAAGCTGGATGCTCTCAAAGCTGCTGCTGGCTACAACCCTAACTACGGTGCTAATGTAAGAATATTGAGAATGATGTACATAGCCTATGTTAGGTCCTTAATTGATTATGCTGATCCATGTTGATATTAGCTAGAAAAAGCTCTCTCCGGCCCTTGGAGTTAACGCAAAATGAAGAACTCAGAATTGTTTTTGACCATCCTAGATCGAGGCAGGTTTTCAAATGAGAAAGGAGCTTGGTGTCTCTAGTATCAGTGATAGAATTATTAAGATTAACACTGTACTTGGTATTAGATTGTTAAAAAATGAACCAGACATGATCATTATAAATCTTACTCAATGTCTAGAAATAAATGCACATAGATCTAAATGAGTTGTGAAAACACGCCGTTATGTTAAGTTTTATAACTTGCACGAACTGTATCACTGCCGACAACAAGAGCATTTCACGTCTCCATGGAAGATGTGTTCATTTAGTATCACATCCCCGCAAGTCCCTCCCATGAAGCCATTCCCTAAATTACCTGTAAAAATAACTGCTTAAGAAGAAATTTCTCACCTAGCTGGTAGTAATAATTTATCACAAGTTATATACACTGATGGATCTAAACAGGAGTCTTCTGGCAGGGCTGCATCTGTTCTTGTTGCCACCTCCCTGGTTCAGAACGGTAGGAACTTTGTTGAGTTAGGCATAAGAATTAACTGGGCGTCTACACTGCAAACTGAATTACTTGCCATCCTAACAGCACTAAAGCTAACTTATGACACTGAGCTTGACTCTATGATTATTACGTGTTTTGTGGCAGCACTGAAGTCTCTTGACTCACTTAATGACTCTAACATCATGTTCATTGGAGAAGCCAGGTATTGATATTAAAAAGTCCGGGAAAAGGGAATTAATGAACAATTGTTATGGATTCCCTCACACATTTGTTTACTCCTTCATGATAAAGTTGATACATTAGCCAAGAAAAGTACTTTGAAGGAGAATGTAAAATATAACGTTGGTGAATCTGTCTAGCATTGAGAATAATATTAGGAGAGAAGTAAATAATGGAAATGAATGTTATAGGAATGAAATTAGAAGCCTAAGTAGATCTATAACCCACTATGATTATATGAACGTAGATAAGTACGTTTATGGAGCAAGTTGCAATGTGAAAAATGTCGTAATCGTCAGGCTTAGGTTTGGTTACGATTACTTTAGTCGTAACAGATGATCGAAGTAAATACAAAATGTATGGCCAACCCTATTGTCACTATCTTTAACACTATGTGCTTAATTGTCCATTTATTGAGGAATATAAAGATACTATAATTACCTATGTGACATGTCAAGACATCTTATTAATGAAAACAAGATACCACATATACTAAGCAAATTTCTTAAATTTGCTTGTAACAGATGAGTGAACTGTAGATATAAATCCAGATGTATTTCTGTAAATCCTTTGGGGCCTAGTTCCTAGGCCTTTTGTGTATCCATATTCTCTTCCGCTACCGCCCATTAGATGGATATGGGGTGCACAATAAACTAGCCACTTCAGTGGGAAAATCTAATTTCTGTAAGACAAACAAGTACACGTTCCTATTGGACAAACAAGAACACGTTCCTCCGAGACAAACAAGTACACGCTTCAGAAACAAACTAGTTCACGTACAGCCAGGTAAGATGGGCGTGCATCACCATGTTTGTACGTACCTGAGGCTGGCTGTACCACCAGCAGCAGCACACCCGCCCAGACCAGCAAGGACGCCCTCATCTGGAGGCTGGTCTCCATGGCAACGCCCGGCCACTAAACACTGCTACTTCGGGCAGCCGCTAGTTCGCCTCCATCTGCAAACAAAAGAATAACCAAATGATCATAAGGGTTGAATCGGCGTATTATTCACGCCATTGAAGATGTACAAAGACACAAGTTATAGAACAAACTCTAAGTGGAACAACGTTCCACTCTACGTAGAGCTTCGTCAAACAAATGACTTTATGAAAAGCTCTACTCGATACTTTAAGGCAATGGTAAAATAATAATGAATTCTTATATATCAATAATTATTTCTTTATATTATAATCATAGGATTATCAGAAAATGTATATATCATGTCGAAAGAACCTCTCTCTCTCTCTCTCTCTCCCTCTCTCTCTCTCTCTCTCTCTCTCTCTCTCTCTCTCTCTCTCTCTCTCTCTCTCTCTCTCTCTCTCTAATTCTCATTACTCAAGTTCTTCACAAATAATAATAATAATAATTTAGTGTATAAACATTTTTCTGAGTGCGTCGTGGTTTAAAATATTTCATTAAGTTGTATAAAGCACTAACCTTGTAATTGTATGTAAATTAACTAACTTAGGGTAATGAGTATACCAACAGTAGTTCAGAATGTATAATGTAATGTATAAATATTCTGGCATGAAAATATACTGCCAGCGAAAATATTTGAAGGACGACGTGAATCATTGAACTCACGAGGGGAAAAATGGTAGACGGAGAGAGAGAGAGAGAGAGAGGAGGAGAGAGAGAGAGAGAGAGAGAGAGAGAGAGAGAGAGAGAGAGAGAGAGAGAGAGAGAGAGAGAGTGAGAGAGAGAGAGAGAGAGAGAGAGAGAGAGAGAGAGAGAGAGAGAGAGTGAGAGAGAGAGAGAGAGAGAGAGAGAGAGAGATAGAGAGAGAGAGAGAGATTATGAATAGAAGAATGTGAAATGTACCGGAGTATAGTGACCCTCAAATTTTTATGGGGGCTTGAGGCATGGGCTTTAAATGTTGCAGCAAAAAAGAGGCTGGAGGCAGTGAATATGCCGTGTTTAAGAGATATGTGCTGCGATGTAAAAGGTATAATATAAAGGGTGGAAGTGGATTGGCTGTGGTGGTTTGGATATTTGAAAATGAAGAGTAGAAGAGATTGACCAGGAATGTGTATTACTCAGACATTGTAGCAGGAGAGGTGAAAGTCTTCACAGGAGGTACTGGTGGGAGGGGACGAAGGAGGTTATAAGTGGTACAGATCTTGAATATCTAGCAGGCATATGTGAGCGCGTTATATCTGGGGTCTTCATGGAAACACGTCAGGCGGACGCGAGTCCTGGAGGTGGGAAGTACATACGCTGAGTGTACTCTGAAGGAGGGGCGGAAGTGACTCACAAGCGATTTTTATATCAATGCAACACGCAGAAACAAGAGGGTATATATATAGAGAAAGATCGCAGTCAGCAGGACTGGATAATGTTACTGGGGACGGACTACCCGCTTGTTCCTGCGTGGTGCATTGATGTAAAAATCGCTTGTGAGGTCAGAACATACAGGAGGAGATTGAAACAGCTTGAATTCATGCTTAACGCTCAAGGACCTGCCCGGGCTGGGAAAGAAACATGGCTTGTGAACCAGGCTACCCAGCTTTTGAGGCATTTGTGGCTGAGTGGATAAGAGTGTTGGGAATCTTGTCTGTCTCAGTAGCAGTATCGAGCCCTGCTGACTGCGATCTTTTTCTGTTTATACACACTTGTTTCTGCGTGGTGCATTGATATATATATGTCGTGCCGAACAGGCAGAACTTGCGATCTTGGCTTAAATAGCAACGCTCATCTTGCCATATAGGACAAGTGAAAATTTGTGTATGCAATAATTTCGCCAAAATCATTCTGAACCTAACGAAAAAAAATATATTTCACTGTGTTTGTTTAGTATTTAATTATTGTAAACAAATCTAAAATATATTTAGTTGGGTTAGGCTAAAATAAATTGCGCTTGTTATAATAAGGTTAGGTAAGTTTTCTAAGTTCCTTTTGGTGCAAAATTATAATTTTTTACATCAACATTTATGAAAAAAATGTATCTTTAAACTTACAAGAGAAAATTTTAGAAAGGACTTAATTTTAAATGAGTTCTTGCTAATTGACCAGTTTTACATATTCGGCACGATATATATATATTATATTTATATATATATATATATTATATAATATATATATATATATATATATATATATATATATATATATATATATATATATATATATATATTACAGTAATGTAATAGGAAGGGGAAGAATATTAATAGTAAATCTACAAGTGGAGAAGTCACAGGCATAAGCTCTGGGAATTATCCTTAGATCTCCCAGACTCTTAAACAAACTAGTCACCTATTAATGTATCTCGTTCCATCCTACCACAAGCCTTAACCATCGTCTCCACTGACACCATCTTGCTGGGAACACCTGTGGATTCCTTGGCCAGTGTCGCAATGCGTGGAGGAAAAACTGAATTGAAGAGTTTGTAAAACAGACGATGAAATTCGGATAGATGCCTTATATCATCTTAGAAGATGCCTGACCTTGCCCACGTTACTATATTTCCTAAGGTGTGCCTTCATTCGAAACCTGACGTCTATAGGGAAAATTATTACTTGTGTTTTTGTCTTCGGGTATTGCCACATATTGCACTACGAGATGCACTCGCAGTGCGTTGGAGAGACACTTGAAATTCACGACGTATGGATCATTGAAAGAATAATTTAGAGGGATACCCCTCAAAAATCTTAACAGATTATCGTCTTCTAAATGCCACAATAAAATCAGCTGGAGCAGAACAATAGTGAAGAATCTCGTGACAATAGTGCTTTAGTATAGGGAAGTTTCCTATTAACTGTCCCTAATTTTCCCAAGGGCATTTGCCTCGACCCTCAGGTCGTTAGCATTGGCATAGCCCTTCATCGCGACGGTTATTCAGTAGAACGATTTGACCTTAATGGCCTCATCTACCATAGATCAAAGACATAGACTGCAAGACACAAAGATTACAATATAATGAATATAAAAGCCTTGCAACAGCCCACTGGTCATCACAAAGGAAGCTCCAGCTGTGCAAAACCCAACGGCAGCCGTTTATCTGCACTGGATATAAGATGAGCGGATAATGTTAGGCTTCATCTCAACATCTATGATTAGCCGACATTATTCTCTGATTCAGTGAAATTCAAAGAAGTGAAGCCGAGTAATACAGTGAGATCAGGATGATTGCCACACACAAGAGCAACTTAACGTTAGAGCTCTGGACCAGAAGGCTTAAAGACCCTTATAACCCATGATTTTCTTATGTTTTTGACCGCCACCCTAAATATAGTTTTTCCTGACCTGGCCATCCAGTGTGCCAATACTTGCAGTTTTAGTTATCATTTTTAAATATATTTAGTACTTATTAGATTTACTTCAATAAATTAATTTACATAACACCTTTCCAGAATGAATTTCATTTTATTTAATAAGGTTAAAGGGTAAATTATAAATAAAAAATGTCGATGAAAATTTGATGTAACAAAAATCGGAATTATTCTATAACTACCATAAAGTTGATTTATTACTGGCGTTTTGATTTATGTTAATAAATTTAAACAGTTAATTATAAAGATTTTCAACAGCGTTACAGTCAGACAAATAAAGAGCACATTATAAATTTTCGTGAAAATATATTTTTTGGGGTTAGATCATGTGATAATTTTTATTTTTCCAGTGGCTTCCATACCGCTCCTTCATTCTCTGGAAGCGCTCTTCTAATTCTAATTTGATCTTGATGGAGAGCTAACAATATATGGAATACTCTGGATCCACTTGGTTCTATGGAATACTCTGGATCCACTTGGTTCTATGGAATACTCTGGATCCACTTGGTTCTATGGAATACTCTGGATCCACTTGGTTCTTTGTATAGACATGGCAATATCTAGTTCTTTGATAGGCCTAAAAATATTTGTTCACAAAGGTATAATGGCTTCCAGAGTCAGAATGGACTTAACCTTGGACTGGCCCTGATATTCTGAATATGGAAAGCTTTGAAGACGCTGTCTTGCACTGGACTTTCCTGGAAAACCGGACGTTCTTGAAATCCTGGTAAATCTTTTCCAGCTTATCTGACGTGTTCACTGAACACATTCCTGATCCAGCTATGACGGTGGATGACGACATTCTCTAGGAAATAGTGATCCATTTCTTCATAAAGCTTTAGATTATCTCTGATAAAGTTGGTAGAATTACCGACAATATGTAAAGTAAAAGGACACAAGTGCAACTAATGTGACATTTATTGTGGCAACGTTTCGCTCTCCAGGAGCTTTATCAAGCCATTACAAACAATACATGGACACAGAGGGTATATAAAGGCTCAGAGTGAGGTGAATACTAGTGAGGTACCATTTCGATGTTCACTAGTGGTAGTAGTAGTAGTAGTAGTAGTGGTAGTGACAAAAGTAATACAATATGGTGTCCTTTTACTTTACAGATTATCTCTGAAAACAGCGATGTGAGTGAGCGCTATTTCTGATGGAACCTCCGGCACAACACTCATTTCTGAGGAGGCTGCAGTTTTTTCTCTAGCCGATTTTTACCTCTTCAAAATGCAAGTCTTGTCTTGAATAATGCAACTTGTTTATTGGTGTCCATCATAGTTTGTTTTCAGCCTTTCATGTCTCAGTTCAGTTTATTCGTGTACCAGAAGAGGTCGCTCAGATAAGCCACCTTTGCCAGTCACACAGCGTCTCTGAAGCAGTCAGACAACATGTGCTTCATCACCCATACAAAATCGTCAGTATCTATTTTCAGTTCAATAAACCATCACAGAGGCCTCCCTCAGAGAGCAAACGAACATCAGAGAGGAAATATTATTGGTATTTCCTGTCTACACACATTTTAAAAAAAGTGTTGGAGTTCAAATCCCTGGCTTTGATGAGAGTCCCACTTGGGTTGCATTATGAAGAATCGTGTAGACTTGCAGATGTAAACATTGAGACGCCAGGTTTGCTCAGTGTAATAAACTGATAATTATTATGACATCAGGAATTTTTGTCTTAAAGTAGT